AGGTCCCCACTCCAGCCCTTCAGAGTGGCAGCGGGCAGCCACCTCGAGACCAGCACTGGGACAGTCATGTGTCCCTCCAGCCCACTCAGGCTGTCCCTGAGAAGCTGCTGTGTCACAGGCACAGTGACAGGCCGCTCTGTAGGCATCTTGCGCACCCCCGCACTGTATCAGCATTGCTTCTTATTGACACAGGGCCAGCCACTGAGGGAGGAGGCCTGTGCTCACAAGGGGCAAAGCTGAACCTGGAGGCAGCTTTTGGTGTGGCTTTTTCTGCTCTTTCTTCCCTGGGCCTGTTCTTTGATTTTTCTGGCCTGGCATGTCTGCCTCCAGGCAGAAGGGGCCGGCTGTTCACAGAGCTCAGTGAGAGGTGACTGACCTCTCCAAAGGAAACAGTCTCCCCAGCCAGGTTAGAGAGTTCAATATGTGCTTCCCTACCTTAGTCCCTCCTTTCCACCCCAGGCCCTTCTGGCAGCTGCCAGACCGTGAGCAGAGTTCACAGCCCATTGCTTTACCACCTGGGGTTTGGGGAAATGTCTGTACTTTGGGGTGTCACAGAAATACATTTTTGTGCAAAGTGCAGAAGAGTGGTCTCCCTCTTTTTTTTTTTTTTTTCAGAAGAGATTGGGGGGATACTGGGTAGGGGGTCAGGAAGGAGCTAGGAGTCTCCCAGGAGGATCCTGAAGTGCAAGTGCTTTTGTTGTAGCTTTATGTGCCTGCAGGCTGGGGACAGGTAACCATACTGAGGTGAGTATGTATCTGTGACATTCTGCACACCTGTACCTAGACACTGAGTTCATGGCTGGCTACCATGGCAGAGTCTCTACTGGGATGGCACAGCCTGCTGGGAGAGACACCCAGTAAATATAAATAGACTTGCCACTCTGCAGTAAAGATAAGAAAGGTGCCCCCCTGCCATTGCTGGGAATGGTGGAAGTGGCTCAGAAACTCTGCTGGGTGCTGGGCAGTGTCACATAGCTCCCTGTGGAGAGAGAAGAGGAAAGAGCCATATAAGGCTAAGCTGAACCCAGTGGCCTTGCCATGACAGACAGTACTCAGTCCCTGGGGAGTGAGTGGCACTATAAAGGAGCATGAGGGTGTAGGTGGGAGGACAGAGCAGACAGCTGGGAACATCATGAAGTGACCAGACTCCGGCTCTACCTGGACAGCCCTGCTATACCTCTCAGGCTTTTGTGACTTCGAGTAGTCCTGCTCTCACTGACTCTGGGATTGACAGTAACCATTCAGTCAGATGCTCTCCAGACTACGCAGAGGGTGGAGGCAGGAGTGCCCGGAACACATTAAACAGTTCTGGGAGCTGGCCTGCTGACCACGCCCTTCTCAGTGGAGTAGAGGTCCCCTCTTCCCTCTCAGCAGAGCCCACACCAAGCTCCTCCCTAGGTGAGTGCCCTCTATCACTGGCGACCCACATGGCCTAGCCAGAAAGGGCATCACAAACGGTGGATTGCCCTTGAACTCTGAGTGGGTCAGCCAAGTCCAGGAGGGATCAGGAGTGGCTGTCAAGGCCTGCTGATTCCTCCATCTGGGCATGCCCTGTGTTGGGTTTTCCTGTGTGTGCGCATTCAGCATTATCATAGTCCTTGGAACAGTCCAGAGTCCATGGACTCAAAAGGTGCCTTCTTACCTCGGGTCACCACAGAAAAGGAGAGAGCACAGCTTCTGGAGCACTGCTTCTTGCTCACCCATCACAGCGCCTGCCTACTTCCATGGGTCTATGTCGAGGCTCAGCACACAGCACAGTACTCTGAGCATCCAGGTCTCTTTTTGGTCATTTTAGTTACTTGGTGGGAGTGTATGTGTGTGGTGCCAACGGTGGCCAGAAGAGGACAGCAGCTCACGGCTGTGTGGCATGAGTGCTGAGAGCCAAACTTGTTGAAGAGCAGTAAACATTCATCCTTCAGCCATCGCTCCAACCTGCCCATTCAGGGCTCTTAATAAAAGCTTACTGCCGGGGCTGGAGGCATGGCTCACCGGTTAAGAGCACTGGCTGTCCTGAGTTCAATTCCCAGCAACCATATGGTGGCTCACAACCATTTGTAATGAGATCTGGTGCCATCTTCTGGTCTGCAGGCAAACATGCAGGCAGAACACTGTAGACATAATAAATAAAAAATAAACAAATAAATAAAATAAGAAGCTTACTGGCTGGGCAGGTGCTGGTGGCACACACCTTCAATCCCAGCACTAGGGAAGCAGAGGCAGGCAGATCTCTGTGAGTTCAAGGACAGCTTGGCCTACAGATCAGATTGAGTTCCAGGACAGCCAAAGCTACACAGAGAAACCTTGTCTCAAAAAACAAAACAAGGGGCTGGTGATATGGCTCAGGGGTTAAGAACACTGACTATTCTTCCAGTGGTTCTGAGTTCAATTCCCAGCAACCACATGTTGGCTCACAACCATCTATAACGTGGTCTGGTGCCCTCTTCTGGCACTCACTGTATACATAATAAAATAAATCTTTTTAAAAAAAAAAAAAACAACTTACTGGCTGAGCCAGACTTGTGGCTTACTTAGCAGGAGGTAAGGGGTAAGCATAAGCGGACTCGCCTCCAAGGCTGACTACATGAGTTCCATTCCCAGGACCTGCACAGTAAAGAAGAGATTAGATCAGACTCCTACAACCTCTCCCACCCCCAAAAACACAAATAAATACTGTAATTTGTTGTTGTTGTTGTTGTTGTTGTTGTTAAGACAGGGTTTCTCTGTTCTGGCTGTTCTGGAACTCACTCTAGACCAGGCTGCCCTCAAACTCTGGAGATCTACCTGTCCCTGCCTCCCAAATGCTGGGACTAATGGCATAGCCACCACTTGGCTACCTTTTTGTTTGTTTGTTTTTATGTTTTGTTTTTTGTTTTTCGAGACAGGGTTTCTCTGTGTAGCTTTGGAGCCTATCCTGGCACTTGCTCTGGAGACCAGGCTGGCCTTGAACTCACAGAGATCTGCCTGCCTCTGCCTGTTCTGGGATTAAAGGCATGCGCCACCAACGCCTGGCCTACCTTTCAAAACAAAACAAAACAAAACAAAAAAACAGGGTATGTCAATGTACTTCTGGCCTACCTGAAATTGTGTAGACTAGGCTGCCTCTGTCTAATGCTGAGATTAAAGGCATGTACTACCATGCCCTGCTGCACTGTGGCTCTTGCAAAGGGCCTCAGCTTGGTTTCCATCACTCATATAGTGCTTATAATCATCTGTGACTCCAGTTCCAGAGGTTCTGACACCCTCTTAGGACCTCTGCAGACACCAAGCATGAACATGGTGCACAGACCATACATCTGGGCAAAACATTCACACACATAAAATAATAATAACCAGACTCTAAGCCTGTTGACCTGATTTCAGTCCCTGAAACCCACATGGCAGAAGGAGAGAACCAACAGGTAGGATTATTTTCTTTCCATCCCTGCACATGGCATCTGTGTATGCTTGTGAGTGTACATGCACACACACAGACTCACAAGTGTGTGTGTGTGGGGGGGGTGTTTGTTTGTTTTTGTTTTTGTCCTTTTTTTACCCCTGAGACAGACCCTCATTATACAGTCCTGTAGACTGGTCATCAGATGCCTATCTCTGTGTCACAAACACTGGAATTAAAGATGTGTGCCTCTGTCTGGGATTTAAAATGTCAGCAGCTCACCCTTCCTCCTTTTCTTTTTTGGTTTTCTGAGACAGGTTTTCTCTGTGTAGCCTTGGCTGTTCTGGAACTCTTTGAGAGATCCGCCTGCCTCTGAGATTAAAGGGGTGTGCCATCACTGCCTGGCTTCCAAACCCTTTTGGTTTTTCGAGACAGGGTTTCTCTGTGGCTTTGGAGGCTGTCCTGGAACTAGCTCTTGTAGACCAGGCTGGTCTCAAACTCAGAGATCTGCCTGCCGAGTGCTGGGATTAAGGGTGTGGGCCACCACCGCCCCACATCCAAACCCTTTTTTGAGACAAACTTTCATATCACACAAGTTGGCTTTGAATCCCTTCCCCCCATATAACGTGGAGAATGGCCTTGAACTTCTGGTTTTCCTGCCTCTCTCCTGTATGTTGAGATTGCAGCATGCCCCATCGTATTCTTTTTATACCATGCTGGGAATTGAATCCAGGGTTTAATGAATGGTAGACAAGCACTCTACCAATTGTGCTAATACCCACCCCCTATTTAGTAATACCAGGAAATGGTTCTGATTAGCCCTAACCACCACCACCACCCACACACACACACAGGAGTGTGGGACAATCACGAACCATGCTGGCTTTGGGAAGTTAGTTCCCCTACAGAAAAGAGGAATGTCTAGTTGACCAAAACAAATCATCAACAGCCTGAGTACAGGGAATGGGGCTGGAGGGGAGCAATCAGCTGGAGGTCAGCTGAATGGGGAAGGGACACAAGAAGAAAAAGTCTGGCTGGGCCGTGGTGGTAGTCAGGGTGGCAGGCACCTGTCTTAGAGGCGGGTACTATCGCCAACCCCATTGAGAGGCAGAAAGTAGATCAGAGAAGTTCAGTGACTTGCCTCGAAAGGCATGGATTGTACTATGTCTCTGACTCCAAGCCGGGCCACGCGTGTCCAGAATCCGCACCAAAACCCTCCTCTTTCCCATCATCGGTTTGCATTATCCGAAAACGAACAGAAGGCAAGTGTGTCACCAAGGCGCACCCTCGGGCAAGCCCTGCCGATCGCCCCTCAGAGCAAGCACCGCGTGGCCTCCGGGCATCACAGATGGCACCTGTGTCTTGTGGGGGGAAACCAAAGACAGACACATACGCGCATGCGGGAGGACGGGGTACCTTCCAAGGCTTCCGCCTCCCGGCCTTAGCAAAGTTACCTGGCCCACCGGGGGCGGAGTTAGGAGTTACGGTCTGTGCGCGCGCCCGCCCCGCCCTCGGCCGCCTCTGGCACCTGTTGGCCTGAGGGGCCGCAGCTGCCACCCAATAAACAGCCTCCCTGAGCCACCGTGGCCCCGCCCCCAATGCGGAGGCGTTGCCGCAGCCCCTCTGCTCCGCGGCCCCTCCTTCCGCGCGCTTCTTCCGGGTGGGCTGGAGAAGGGGCCAAGGCCATGGCTCTCTGGGCGCTGCTCAGCCCTGGGGTGCTGGTGCGGACTGGGCACACCGTGCTGACCTGGGGAATCACGCTGGTGCTCTTCCTGCACGACACCGGTGAGCCGGACACCGCGCAATCCCGAGCCCACCCGATCCCTCATGGTTCCCCTCCAGTGGGTCTCACCCGGTCCCCCTTATCCTCAGATACATTGAGATTCACCCCCATTTCCGCAAGTTCCTCAGGCGTCTTTCTCATCTGTCGATCCAGGAGCCATCCACTCTCTGTCTGATACCCAAGTTGGTCCCTAATTAATCCCGAGATTTTCCTGTCGCCGACATATACCATCCAAAGACCACCAGTGATCATCAAATCCGAGGGCCGATTAGAGCCTCCATCTCCCCTGACCCTGGGCTCCACCCCATCCTTCCCAGAAATTGCTTCCCAACCTCTCACTGAATAAAATTAAGAAATCGACTAAAGCAGGGCTGTGGTGGTACACACCATTAATCTCAGCACTTGGGAGGCAGAGAGGCAGGTGGATCTCTGAGTTCCAGGACAGCCTGGTCTACAGAGCGAATTCCAGGACAACAGCCAGGACTGTTACACAGAGAAAAAAACCCTGTCTTGAAAAATGAGGGGGGGGGGAGGAAGAGAGAGAGAGACAGACAGACAGACACTGGCTTTCTGCTCAACTTCCCAAATCCTATGAGACCACTAACTGCCCATCCACCTCCTTACCTGTCTTGAAAAATGAGGGGGGGGGGAGGAAGAGAGAGAGAGAGAGAGAGAGACAGACACTGGCTTTCTAAAGCTCAACTTCCCAAATCCTATGAGACCACTAACTGCCCATCCACCTCCTTTCCCCTGTATTTCCTTCAGCAACCCCCTACCCAGGGTTTCCCCACCCAAAGCAACAGCCCCCACCACTGAGGCTCTGCCCTTTATCCTCAGGTTTCCCCACCAAGAATCAGCAGCTCCCTCCAAAACCTTCGCGGCCCTCTTGGGCCCTCTTTCAACCAAGGGTACTAGAGTTGTGTACACAAGTTCTCTCAGTTCTCAGCTTTCCCGCCTTTCCAGAATGGGTTTAAACACACTGGTACCTTCCCAGCCTGGGTTCCCACGGTGGCATCTGAGCCTCCTGGTTGCCCCTCTTTGAGGGCTGACTCTTCCCATAGGAACCCTCCCCCTCCCACATTCATCAGGGTTAGTCTCTTCACCCTGCTCCCTCCCCTCCAGCTGCTCACTCTCCCCCTCCCTGCCCCTCTTGCTGTGGGCCTCACTGTCCTCTGGCCTCTGCAGAGCTACGCCAATGGGAAGAGCAAGGGGAGCTGTTCCTGCCCCTCACCTTCCTGCTCCTGGTCCTGGGCTCCCTGCTGCTTTATCTGGCTGTGTCACTCATGGACCCGGGCTATGTGACTGCTCAGCCCCAATCTCAGGTAACCAGGGACCCTGAGGTCCACACCCCCTACTTGGGCCAACAGAGAAATGAGACCTCAGAAATCCATCTATGAAGTTCTGAGCTGCTTACATTGTGGGGCGTCTTAGTGAGGCCTCTTTCCTACCCTATGATTTTGCTCCAACAATGAGGAAATCACCAAGGCCCAAGTGAGGACAAGGCCTTGCAAAGGCCACCAAGTGTCCAGTACTCTACTGTGCACATACCTCCCTTCTACGTGGGATGGGCCCCAGTCCTGCTCATCCAGAACCAAGGGGACCCCTCCCCCCATCTTAGACCCTTTGTTTCACTTTCAGGAGGAGCCCAAGGAGGAACAGACAGCTATGGTACCTCAGGCTATCCCACTCCGGCGTTGCAGATACTGCCTGGTGCTGGTGGGTGATGTACACATACTCTTGTGGAAGGAACCGGGACCAAGTTCAGAATCCTTGCCCTGGCGCCCTAGCACCTTGGCCTTGCCTCTCCTCCAGGAAGGCCTCCCAAATTTAGGACCTGACTGTGGCCTTCAGTCCTCTCAGAATGCCCTGGGGGAGCCAGCACTGAGCCTAGACTCCCCTCTGTGCCCACAGCAGCCCCTGCGAGCCCGACACTGTCGTGACTGCCGCCGATGTGTTCGCCGCTATGACCACCACTGTCCCTGGATGGAGAACTGTGTGGGTGAACGCAACCACCCACTCTTCGTGGCCTATCTGGCACTGCAGCTGGTGGTTCTCCTGTGGGGCCTGTATCTAGCATGGTAGGTGCACCGGAGAGTGTGGACCATATACACATAGATGCTCACAGAGAGGACTCCCTGCAGTCCTCCAGTTCCTCCTTCTCTGTCCTCCAGGTCCGGCCTCCGGTTCTTCCAGCCCTGGGGGCTGTGGCTACGGTCTACCGGGCTCCTGTTTGCCACCTTCCTGCTGCTTTCCTTCTTCTCATTGGTGGTCAGCCTGCTCCTGGCCTCACACCTCTACCTGGTGGCCAGCAACACTACTACCTGGGAGTTCATATCCTCACACCGAATTGCCTACCTCCGCCAGCGCACCAGCAACCCCTTTGACCGGGGTCTGACTCGAAACCTGGCCCACTTCTTCTGTGGGTGGCCCTCTGGACCCTGGGAGACTCTCTGGGCTGAAGAAGAGGAGGAAGGCAGTAGCCAGGCTGTCTAGGGTTGCTGAAGAGAAGGTGCCATTGTGCCTAAAATCCGGAGGCTATGCCCCCAGAGACCAGCCCAGTTAGTCTGAGCTCTTTACTCCCCAGAGCTCTCAGCCCTCAGCAGAGCAGCAGACAGAACCCCCCCAAACAAGGAAAGGATGTAAGTAGGGGAAAGGGGGGGGGGCTTGACACAAAGAGAACCCAGACTCCATCATGACCCCTGGCCTGGCTACCTCGAATGTATAGTTTTATTAATTTAATACTCTATAAAGGCAAGTATTAAAAAAACAAACCATCCTGTTGTGGGGCCTTCCTCATCAGGAAGCAGAAGGGTTAGAGACACAGCTCACCCAGTAACACTGAGGGAAGTCTCCAGCAGCAGCCCCACTACCTGGAAACCCATACATTCATTAAATACCTTGGCCCTGGGCACATGGACAGTGGAGAGTTCTTACAGTCTGGCAGAGGGAGGCAGAGGGGCCAGGAGACCCTCAGGACTCCAGGAACTGCTGAGACACAAAGTCAAAGTCCCGGAAGGCAGCCTGTTGGCGGGCAGTGAGGGAACTTTGGGGTGCTGGTGGGGTCAGGATTGGAGGCAGGCTGGTGAACTCCCCCTCGAAGTAGCGAAGGTCTGCAGGGCCACAGAGAGTAGGCACAAAGGGGGGCCGGACAGTGCGAGCAAGCAAGGCCTGCCAGTTGGTGGTCTGAGAACAAGGGTAGAGGAGTTTGAGAAGGGGGAACAGCAGACCCCAGGGGTCACCCAGCCCTCCTACCTCACCAGGCAATGGGGACTGCTGGCTACTTACCCTGAAGAATGGCTGAACCTTGATCTCTTCTGCATCCTGCTCTCCTGCTCCTAGTCGCTTCTCTGGGCACTTCTGGAGGAGCTGGCAGGACAGGGCATGTGTGAACTCAGGGCACTCCAGGGGCCGGCTGCCCCACAGGTACCCCTACTTAAGCTCCAAGGTGGTGTCAGGGAGCACACAAGCCACAGCAGCTGCCTAGCAAAGCTCTGGACCTTAGGACTCACCTTCTGAATGAGCTCAAGCCCCTGAACCGACAGGAAGTGGGGACGCGGTGCATCTGCATTGACAATGCAGTCAAACACTTCCTCTTCTGTGTCCCCCGGGAATGGGCACTGTGAAGATGGGGACTCAGCAGGGCACATGAGCTACCCCGGTGTCCCCACCCCAGAGACCCGAGAAGCCCCACTCTAGGACTCACCTCACCCACTAGCATCTCATAGAGCAGCACACCCAGGCCCCACCAGTCCACAGCCCGAGTGTAAGCCTCCTGAGTCAGAACTTCGGGGGCCAGGAACTCTGGGGTGCCGCAGAAGGTGCTCGTCCGGTCCCCAAAGCCAATCCCTGCAAACCAACATCCACACCAATGTCTGCTTGTGTGTGACTCACTCAATATAGCCTCTGTGGTCATAAGAATCAGTGAGGGAAGGAGCCTGAGGAGCTAGCTCAGTGGTTACGATGGGACGCGGGTTTGATTCCCAGCACCCACATGGTGGCTTGCAGCTGTCTGTAACTGCATCTGGTACACAGACATACATGCATGCAAAAATACCCATAAACACAAAAATGGGGGGTTCTTTTTATAATTAATATTTTTCCAGCCTCATGACAGTTTCCCCTCCCATTCCATGGAAAGCCTGCACTTTTCTCAAGGAAAAGGAGAGGGAGCCGGGGTAGGGAGGGAGGTTGGGGAGAGGGGCACACAAACTTTTTAAAAACAAAAAGATAAAAAAATCACCAGTTGTTGGTGGTGGTAGGTGGATATCTATCTGCGAGTTCAAGACTATCTGGTCTACAAAGTGAGTTCTAGGACAGCCAGAGCTGTTATATAGAGAAACTTTGTCTTCAAAAACAAAACCAACCAAACAAACAACAACAAAAAATCAAGGCCAGAGATGGAGGTGTGACTCAATGTAAAGCTCTTGCCGGGCATATGTGAGACTATGGATCAAAACCCAGCAATGCAAAGACACACATATGTATGTAGATAGATACTTATTGATCTGTGCTTTCCTTTATAATGCCCACTAACGAGGCCGGCTGTGTCCTGTAGACTCTAGGCCAAGGTCATCATGCAGCCAGTTACCGTATGAAAAAGCTAAATCTGCTGAACTCTTGTGCAGAACAAATGTCCTCTTCAGTCTTAACCATAGATTCTCTGACCAACTACAAATTAGGAAGAGCCAGTATCCTCAGCTGTTCTCATAAACAAGAGTCACAGTCAGGAGTAAAGGCCAGCAGTTGGGGAGCCTAGGTACACATGAATGGGGATATTTCCAGGTGGCCTGGGCAAGGCAAGCGCGTGTGATTCCAGGACACGGCCCACCTTCCTTGCATAGTCCAAAGTCCGCAATCTTCAGGAAGCCCTGGGCGTCCACCAGCAGGTTATCCAGTTTCAGGTCCCTGATGGCAGAAGGGTGCAGATCACAAAGGCTGAAAGAGGCTGAGGCCCAGGACACAACAGCAGCACGAGAGAAGGACAATAGCCCACCCAGGCCCACCCTAGCATCTCAAGCAGGCTACCTGTAAATAATCCTCTTCTCATGTAGAAACTGTAGCCCCAGAACCACGCAGGCCAGGTAGAAGCTGAGGGGTGGTACAGGGAGAATTCAGGTCAGGCACTAGAGGGCACCAGAAGGACCTGGCCAAATCAGGATGAGACTGGACAAACAAATCCGGTGCCTGGGCTGGAAGGGCCCAAAGTCCTCCCAATATTGTCATATATTAATGACCTTCCTGTGCTCAACTATGACAGGGCCACTGGGTCTAGTGGTATAGACCTGAAATTCCAGCTACTTGGGAGGCTGAGGCAGGGGAATAGGAAGTCCGCTCCCTGGTAGAGCAACTTGCCTGGTTTAAGCTAAGCCCTGGGGTCAGTGCTCTGTATGGGAATCTCCCCAGCAGCCTTTGGGCTAACCATCATGACTTACGCCAATCAGGATCTGAGAGGCTAGAAAGATGCCCCAGAATTCAAGAGGGAGTATTACTCTTAAAGACACCCAGTTTGGTTCCTAGAATCAGGTTCCTGTATTAGGTGGCTCACAACTGCCTGTTGCTCCAGCTCCAGGAGATCTGGCACCCTCTTCTGCCTCCAAGGGCTCCTGCACTCAAGTGCAATGGCCACGCACAGCGACACATACATACAATCAAATGAGGATCGGAGACTTGACCCAGGGTCACACAGTAGGATCAGAGCTGATGTGCTGAGTCAGACTGCTCTAACAAGAGCAGGCACTGGAGCATGATAGGCAGCTCCAGCTGCCATCCTGAGCTGGGCAGTTTGCAAGCATGTCTATTATCCCTGCAATAGTCTTACAAAATCATGATGAAAGATCCCATCCACAGCTGCGCAAATGGAATCCCCATATGCTGTAAGAGTTCTACTAAGGCTCCTTCAACCTTGTGCTATTGGTCTTCTGGGTACCCCCTACCCCAAGAGAACAAGCGCTAAGTAACCAGGGAACCCACCAGGCCTGGGGCTCAGGAAAGACATCCTCGTGGATCTGCATCATGAGGTCTCCTCCAGGCACAAACTCAGTAACAAAGCAGGCGTGGCTGGAGGTCTGGAAGCAGGCAAGGAGGGATAGCAGGAAGGGGTGCCCTGTGTGACCCACAGCCTCCAGGATCCGCTTCTCACAGTACAGGCTGCAAGGGAGGATGGGATGGATGGGATGGAACCTCCCTGGGCTATGCCCTGTCTCCCACACAGCACTTCCAGCTGGATGGGTACCTACAAAACTAGACATGTGTGGTGGCGCACACCTTTAATTCCAACACTCAGGAGGCAGAGGCAGAGGCAGAGGCAGAGGCAGGCAGATCTCTAAGTTCCAGGCCAGTCTGGCCTACAGAGCTAGTTCTAGGACAGCCAGGGCTACACACAGAAACCCTGTCTTCAAAAAACAAAACAAAACAAAAAATACTGCAAAACTGCCACAGTCATATTTATAGAAGAGCAACCCAGAGTGCTAAAATATTTGAGAGCTTTCCAGTGCCAAAAAGAGAACCTGGTCCCTGAGATCTTGAGCTGCCCTTTAAACCCCGGCCAGCCACCCAAGGGTTCCCTCAGGGTCAGATACTTCTCAAGCATACACACCTGTCAATCTCGTCCCGGCCCAGCACTTCCTGCTTCTTCAGTGCCTTGACAGCATAGTATTTTCCTGTTCCTTTGTACTGGACCAGGAGGACCTAGGAACCAGAAAGAATTGGGCTCCAGATGGGCAGGACAGAGAGCCTTCACCTCCCCACACAGCATCCCCACACCCCAGCATCTCCTAACTAATGTGCTGAGGCTTATCCACCCGCTAACCACTGCACCGACCTCAACCCCACTACCTTCCCAAAGTGTCCCCTGCCCAGCACAGCCAAGCATCGGAAGTCTTGAAGTTGGAGGGGTTTCCTGCAAGAGAGAAAGGGCACAGGGGCTGAACAGACCAAGATCAGGCTTTCCTGTTGCAGCCTAGGCTGTCCCCACAGCTGGAATTTAAAAACTGCATTCAGCATATAAGGAAGGCACTGAGCAAGCCAGTGTGTGTACCCAAGGAGCCAGGGAGTGAGGTGTCAATCAATATGTATATAAGTGAGTGGCAGTGCACACTTGTAATCTCAGCACTCAGACCACAGAGGCAGGAGAATCACAAATTCAAGGCCAGCCTGAGCTACACAGTAAAGTCTTATTTAAAAAGAATAAGTCTTATTCTTGGGCTGGAGAGATGGCTCAGGGGTTAGGAGAGAGCACTGACTGCTCTTCCAGAGGTTCTGAGTTCAATTCCCAGCAACCACATGGTGGCTCACAACCATCTGTAATGAGATCTGGTGCCCTCTTGATAAATAAATAAATCTTAAAAAAAAAAAAAAAAAGAATAAGTCTCAGGCAGGTGAAATGACTTAAGTTCTATGCCGAGGACCCACTTTAGAAAAGCCAGGCGCAGACACACACACACACACACACACACACACACACACACACACACACACAAAAAAAAGAGCTAGACGGAGCTAGACGGTGGTGGCCCACACTCTTATTCAGAGCACTCAGAAGGCAGAGTGAGTTCAAGGCCAGCCTGGTCTACAGAGTTAGTTCCAGGATAGCCAGGGCTGTTACACAAAGAAACCCTGTCTCAGAAAACAAAAACCAGCCGGGCGTTGGTGTCGCATGCCTTTAATCCCAGCACTTGGGAGGCAGAGGCAGGCGGATCTCTGTGAGTTGGAGGCCAGCCTGGTCTCCAGAGCGAGTGCCAGGATAGGCTCCAAAGCCACAGAGAAACCCTGTCTCGAAAAAACAAACAAACAAAAAGAAAATCCAGGCATAGTGGGTGGTTCACATCTGAAACTCCAGGCCAGCACTCCTAAGGTAACTCAGGAGGTGGAGACGAAGAAGTTCAAGTATGTGGCCAGCAAGCACAGTGGCAGAAACAATGAGGCCCTGCCTCAAAAACGAAGTGGACAGAGAGAACTGCCTCCCAAAAAGTTGTGCTCTGCCTTCTACATGGTTCATGTGTGATGCAGGCACAAACTGGCACAGATCTTAAAAAAGAAAGGTCTCTAAATGAATGCAAGCCAGTGAGTACCTCGTGGGTGAGACCGCCTGGGTGGTTGCTATTCCAGTTCTAGGGTCCATGTGGGGGCGTTTGATACACTGTGAGGACAGAGGGGTTCAGGACAGAGCTGGCCTGCTGGCCTCTTTCCCTCCTGCCAGCCTCTGTGTCTGCCCCCACCTCCAGAATCCCTTACAGGAGTGTCCAGGACTGGTTCTTGGGGCAGATAGAGACGAGGGGGCTTGGGTGGAGGCTTCATGTCTTCTCCGGAGAGGGTCTTCATGGACAAAAAATTACTATAAGAAGAAGGAGATGTCTGAGCTGGACTAATGGAGGTGGGAGTAGCACAGCCGCCAGAAGGAACAGAGATCAGAGGGTGAGCTGGGAACAGAACACAAGACACACACACACGGAGTCTGGAGGGATAGAAACTGCAGAGAAGTACAGTCTGGGCCAGACAGCTCACCTGGGGGAAGCAGAATTGGAGGTCCCACATGCTTCAGTTGGGGGGCATCCTTTAGGGGGACTGACTGTGCTTGGTGAGCTACAGGGGGGCAGCAGGCTCATGACCAGGCGTCCCCAGGCTGCCATGCTGAGGTTCATCTGGGAAGCCCTCAGGAAGTCCTGGCCTAGATTAGGCAGATGGGGCTCAGTCCCACCGTCCCAGTGCCAGCCCAGCCCTCTCCCCACCCTCCATACCTCTATGCTTGGAGAAAATACGTCTCTGCCTCTGCAGCCGAGGCCTCCTTTCAATGACAGGGTCACAGAAGGTTACCTAAAGGGACATGAACAGAGCTGAAGGACCTGGACTGGCCAACCCACCCTGCCGGCTAGGCCCCAAGCGCCAGCTCTCAATCTCAACCAATGGAGACAACTGTCAACATGACACTGCAAAAATCATCTGGGGGGAACTGCTTAGGTCACATGGCTTGTGGGCATGTATTGGGGGGTTGTCTTGTTTGTTAATAGAGATAGGAGGTTCTAGGCCACTGTGGATGGCACCATCCCTGGGCAGTTGTATTAGGCTGGCTATATAAGAAAGCTGGCCAAGCATGGGCTTGTGAGGGAGGCAGAGAGCAAGCCAGCACGCAGGGTTCCTCCAGGGCTTCTACTTTGAGTTCCTGCTTAAGTTACTGCCCTGACTCCCTTCATGATAGGTTGCAAATATGTAAATTGAAATAAACCCTTCCCTCCCATAAGTTGCTTTTGGACAGTGTTTTACCACAGAATGACATTAGCATGAGAGGCAAAATTCAAAGGACTCTGGGATAACTACACATCCTCACGGGTGCCAGTGGAGAAACTGAGGCCCAAAGCAGAGGCACTTACTCAAGGTGACATATGAAGCAGGGTAGAAACATGAGCCTCTCTGTGGCCCTGTTTGTGGAACTGTCTCCATCTCTCAGCTCCCACACTTATGGGGGGGAGGAGCAGTCTTTACATTTGCACATATCTATGCAAATGGAGGCTGACAGGGGTGTCTGCCTTCTCACCTTATTCTTTGAGACAGGGTCTCTCACTGAACCTGGAACTCACTGTTTCAGTCCAATTGTCATGGTATAGGCAGCAGTGAAGTTATAGACAAGTACCACCACACCTAGTTTTTACACGGATGCTAGGGGTTGTGTACAGCAAGCCCACTTTATCCACTGAACCATCTCCCCAGCCAAAGTGTCAGTCCAAAGACCCTCTGTTAGAGGTCAGAGGTCAGTGGGAACCTGAGCAAAGAGCTTTCCTTGTGGCACCAGGCTGAGAGAAAGCTGGTGACAGGCATTGTCCAGGAAGTCCTCAAGCTTCAGAAAGGCCACACCACACAACTGCCGCCAGTCCCGCCAGTGAACCCCGATCTCCAGCTCACGGGCCTGTGTGGGGAACAGCAGGCTAAGGAATGGGGTTTGGCATCAGCCATGACCTGGGTGGCCTCCCTCCTTGCAGCCCACAGCTAACCCTGACCATACAAAGGCCAGCCTTACTCGATCCAAGGAGATGATAAAAGCCTGGTCCCAGGATTTCTCAGCCACCTGTCCCCATCCTGTCTGGCCCACAACACGATTGTCAACCTTCAGTACAGCCAGTACCTCATCTGTAGTACCAAGTTTGGGGTTCAGAGTATGTCCAGACAGGCACCCCCACCACCTTCCATAGCTCCCCTTACGCACTGGCCAGCTCTCCTCCACCACCACGCTGCTGCCTGGACCTGGTTCGGAGCCAGCCTTCAGAGGGGCTACCTGCCAGGACAGCCATGGGAGACCGTCCAGGCACAGCTGTCAGCAGTTGTTCACAGCCCAGGAGGCGGACCTGCAGTGTCCCTGGTTGGGAGTCGGGAGGGCACTTTGTCAAAAACCACCACCAATGGGCTAAGGGACCCCAGAGGGATACCACTTGCTCTAGGAGGGTTAGAGTTGGGGTCAACTGACCCTGTCCACATTAGGCCTTGGTAGCCACCCCTCATCTTCAGAAGCCCTCCCAGCTCTCCCTCCTGGGTGCCTGTGCAATGACAGGACCTCCCCTGTGGAGCTGTGTGGAATCATGTGGAACCACAGGATTGAGTAAGCTGCTGCCCTGAGCACCATGGCCTCAAGTGCACAGGGGCAGGCACGGGAGCCTGGGGCCACGAGCAGCCCAAGTTTGCCTGCCCCATTTGTTCCTATCTGAACATTGAGGGTGAGTCCTGAATAGGAACAAAACATGTTTTGTCTGAGATCACTGAGAGTTTTGTCTCAGAGGGTAGCAAAAACAGGAACCCAGGAGCTCCTGGGGACATGAATGAGTCTGGGAAAACCTTTGGTAGGCTGGGTCTGGAGGTAATACCTGGGAAGCTTACAGAGATCCCAAGGGTGGTGTCCAGGAAGGATACTCATCTTAGGAGATGAAGGATCAACCATGAACTAGGATATGGGGTGTATGGTTTTGTTTTTAGATAGAATCTCATTAGCCCAAGTTGGCCTCAAACTCATTGTGTAGCTAAAGATGCCATTGAACCCTTGGTCCTCCTGCCTCACTTCCCAAGGGTTTGGGTTATAGGTGTGTGTGCTCCACACCCAGTTTATATGGTGCTGGGGACTGAACCCAGGGCCTCCCGCACACTAGGCAAGAACTCTACCAACTGCCTCCCACCATTGCCACATCCTTATCTCAAATTCTTTGCCTTTAAACAAACAGTTTTCTCTGTCTTCCTCAGCTTGCTGACTTGACCATAAGCACTCCCACGAGATCTCCAAGCTCAGACTCCACCTCCTCTAAGGAACCCTGATGACCCAAGACCAGGGCCCACACAGATAGATGTCTAGCCACCCCCATGCACTGTTCCCTGCAGCAGGCACCAGCTAGGCTATGCCTTGCAGCTCAGATGATTTGGTGAGTCAGTCAGCTACTGCTACAAGGAGACAGACCTCAGCTCAGGCTATGAGAGAGCTTTCTGGCCAGGCAACGGCACACACCCTTAATCCCAGCACTTGGAAGGCAGAGGCAGGCAGATCTCTGGGTTCAAAGCCAGCCTGGTCTACAGAGTGAGTTCTAGGACAGCCAAGGCTACACAGAGAAACCCTGTCTGGAAAAAACAAAACAAAACAAGAAAAACCCAGAAAAAAAGAAAGAACTTTGTGGTAGCCAGGCTGCCCTGGCCTGGCTCCAAGGCTGGCACGGGAGTGCGCTGACTACCACTACTCCCTACTTTCAGTCACTTGTTTAAATTACATCATATTGGCCAAACGCTGACTGTGCTCAGTGCTGAAGGATAACAAGTTAATTGGACTTACAAGGCAATCTATGAGTCAGTGCTATCAGTATTTTTATTCTTTGTTTGTTTTACTTTGAGTCTGGGTCTCACTATGTAGCTGTGGCTGGCCTGGAACTCAAAGAGATCCACCTGCTTTTTCCTGCCTCCTGAGTTCTGGAGTTAACTCTGGGTTCAAAGCCAGCCTGGTCTACCAGGCCGTGACTACCATCTCTGCTACAAGTGGATAAACTGAGAACCAGAATGGGACTATCAGACAGACCCAAGGTCACACAGCAGCGCTGAACTCTTTCCCAAAGTGCTCCAGGACCCAGGGTCCTCTCCAAGAGGTAAGGGCCCTCCTTTCTACCTACCTGTCAGAGCAATGGGTTTCACAAGTGTCCTTGAAGGCTGGGGGTTCCCGAGCATGGCCATCCGCAGCTCTCGGGTCACCCTGCTGCGCAGCGAATGGGTGGGTGGCAGCCTCTCCAGCAACAAATCCAGGGCCAGCTGTAGGAGGTCTAGCTTCTGGGAGGATTCCTGGAGCTGGGCCTGGGCCTACAATGGAGACACAGGCAGAGACAGACATGAGGTGTGGTGTGAAGGGGACAAATTATGCCTTATGCTTCTCCACCGACACCCAACACAGGCAGCAAGCCCTTGGTGCCAGGCAGCGCTGCACGGCAGACAGAGAGAAGCAGAGCTATAGGAAGAGCAGTAGGCCAGGGGACACAGCCTGACCTCAGCCAGCGCCTTGCGGTCCTGCATTTTCTGGCCACCAAGTAGCTTCACCACATTCTTGGCTCCTGCAGCCACAGCAGCCTCGATTCGCAGTCGGTGCTGTAGCTCCTCCGCTAGCAAGTCAGGGCCTGCAGGAAGGAGGTGAACCCTCAGCCCTGGCCACTGGGTGCCACCCTCCCTGCCTTGAGAGGCCTCACCTGGCTCTGGAGATCCGCTGGTCTCCAGGCTGCTTATCTTCATTCGGAGCAGGGTTACCTTCAGTTGACTATCCTTCAACATCTGCTGGGCAGCTGCCAGGAGCTTCCTTTCCTACAGGGATGTGACACTTGCCCATCAGATCAGGGCTAAGGCTGACCACCAGGGGCTGGAGTTGAGCTCCCCCTGCTATACCAAGGTGGAACCTCCCACAAGGAAGCTGCTACAGACTAGTCTCCCTGTTGATGGGAGGTAATGGGTAGGTAATGGGGTAGGGGCTGCAGGGTGAGTGGAGCCTGACTCCCATCAGGTTGACAAGCTAAGTGTTACAACACCCTGTCAGATGGAGCATGGAGGGTAGAATGCTGAGAGTTGAGCCCGGCAGTTGGGTGGATATTCTGCTAGACTGCTGTTGGGCCTTTACGATAAAGTGGATGGGAATGAATTTTGCTTCACTCACCCAACTAGGATTTAGGGCTGTACTTCCACCATTAGACAAAGGGCTGGGGTTGGGTACCATTTCCCCATTGGCACGGGACCTGGCACTGCCCTCCTAACACCTGAGAGCTAGATCTGTCCCATCAGATCAGAAGGCAGCCTCTGCCTCCAGGCAGACCCCAGCACTTACCTTGTGGGTGCCCCTGGCACACGTGTGAATCATGTTCTCAGCTCCCTGCTTTACCTTCAGCTCCACCTGCAGCTGCCTCTGTAAAACCTCCAAGTGCCGAGCCCTTGACTGCTCTGCCCGCGGCCGGGGTCCTGAGGCCACTGGCTCTGCAGAGAGAAGGTAGGGGATGCACGATCCTGCCACCAAAGTGCAGACCTCTGTAAAGGGCTCTCTCTTCCCTTCTTTCCTGACCAATCAGCAACATGTACGATATAGGGAGGTCAGGTGGTCTTGCCCAGTGGTCTGAGCCAAGGCAAGGATCAGGGTGCCCGTGACTCTCCCATTCCCTGGGGTTTCTTCAGGATCCTCACTCACCAGCTGAGGTTGGCAGCAGAACTCGGGCATGCAGCTCCCGCAGCTCGCCATGCAGCTGCTCCAGGCGGCGGTTGGAGGCCCTCAGCAGCTGCTGCACATGGCCCAAGTGGCGTCGGTCTGTGGCCACACGCCGCATGTTCTCCATGCCCTCCTTGATCTTCAATTCCTTCTGGATAGCTCGACGGATCATCTCTTCCTCATCCTCAGGAGGCCTCTGGCCAGTCCCAGGCTGCAAAGGGCAGAGAAGTCATAACCCACCCCCTTCCAAGGGGGAACAAACACAACGGACAGAGCACTGGGGTGTCTTAGAACTCTATAGTGTCTAGCTCTTGTCTTTCTTTCAGAGAGAAGAGAAAGATAATGGATCAGGTTACCATGATGCTTTCTGGGTCCTGAATTCTAGACCAAAGAGCTCTAACAAGTTGAACTCCTTTTGCCTCTTATTTGATAGTGGAGAAAGAACCCAGGGCTTGGAACATGCTAAACAAGAGCTCTGCCACAAATCAACATGCTAGTTCTCATTCCCATTTTAGACAGGAGCAAAGAACAAAGAGAGGTTAAGTGGCTTGTTCACAGAGGCAACACAGAGGAGTGACCACTGTTTATTGAGGGACAGTGACCCCATTCTCTCCTAGCCAGCCATGCTGCTTTCTCTAGGTCTGAGAACCAAATGCAATCTGGGAGGAAACTACAGGCAAGGAATTTACTCAAGGTCACATGCAGGAGGCAGCCAGTGGCCCAAGACACCAAAACTTGTTTCTTCTGCCTTAGACAGTGTGGCAGACAGGTGGTGAAGCAGAGGTGCTAGAGGGAGCTGAGGAGGTCTGGACTGCTCAGAGCCGGCAGGAAGGAAAAGAGCCCCTCAACCGTTCACCAGGTTAGAGGCAGGGGGAGACAACCTCTCAGAGGCTGACCTCAGCCCAGGGAAGCCCCTGCTGACCCCCCTCATGGCAGCCACCCTATTTTATTCCTCTTACCTCTCTGTGTTCCATCTCCTTAGCCCCATAAAAGAATAGCTACTCAGTTTAGGGGCTCCCAACCCCCCAACTCCAGGCCTCGGCTAAACTGCCTTAGCTCTCAGAGGGCAGGGCCAGGGCGAGGCTCAGGAAATCCTTTGACCGCCCCAGGCAAGAAGGCCAGAGCCAAAGGCCTGAGCAAACAAAGCTGTCCCAGAGCTGGGGGCCTGCTGGCCACCAGGGTCCTGAGTCACCACGCTGCTGCTGCTGCCGCAGGGCGGCGGCTCACAGGAAATCGGAAAATGTGTACAAGTCACTGCTAGAAAGGCCAAGAGGGATCTCTGGAAGAAGAGTACTGGGAGGCGTGCAGGCTGCCTGAGCCGTTTATGTACCCGTGTCTACCATACCTCACCCATACCTCATGTTTTGACTTGGCACTGGATGTCCCGCCCCATCTCTAACTACCCTGAGGTAGGACACTCTCTCCCTTCTTAAGGGACACATCTAACCGGAGCCCCTCCACATTGTGGGCCCCTCTGTGGACCCAAGGGTTCCCTGCACATTGCTAGGCCAGGTGCCTCTGGTGGCGAGAAAGTGGTCTTGCTTGTGGGTGTGGTGTGTTGGAGAGAACGCCCACCAAGAGCCCAGTCCCACCCTCCCCAACGCTCGCAGCTTCTCCCCCAAGATTCCTCTAGGAGGGCCGGCACCCCAACCTCCCCCAAATTCCCACCCGTCTGCAAGTCTCCAGAAAACTGATTTTTAAAGAACTTGAGACTCAGCCTCAAGGCACATTCCAGTTTCAGGCATGCTGCCGAGCTGGATCTCCGTCACTCTGGGGACCAGAGCGTCTTATCCCAGGGCACAGATCCTGGCCCGCGCAGAGGTCATCAGAGACCGGAGTGGGGTGGACCCGAGCGTGGGGCGCCCTGAGCTGCAAACGCGGCCGCTGCGCGCGCTCGGTTCACCTGGAGCGCCGCCCCATTCTGCTCCATGGCGTTGCGCCGGCCAGTCCTCTCCTTCACTACGGTTCCGGAAGCCCGGGCCTCTGCGCCGGACTTTCAAACTTGAAACTTCCCGGGAAGCGGCGCGGTACACGCGGGATCGGGCGCCCCCTCCCGAGACCCGCGCGCCCGGCAGGTGTGGGGAGCAGCGCCCCCTCCCGGCCGCGCGCGGGCGGCGCCCAGGACCCTATAAACGAGTTGAGCTCCGCGGATCTCGGGTCCCCTTCCTGATTTAATCGCTCACGCTCTGCACCAGAGCTGATCTTCCTAGAGATGGAAGGCCGGGCACCATTTCTGCACGAGCTTTGCCCGCAGCGTGCAACGGGGGCTTGAGCCCGGTGCGGATTAAACCTTGATCCAAATTATGGCCAGATACAAATAAGATATGAACCACCTCTGGCTCGTTGCGAAGAGTTTGCTGACTCAGCCGGAGCCGATGTTCTGACTTTACCTTTACCATAGTTTAAGTCCGTAGGGTCTGGGGAGGGAGTTCAATAAAGTGCTGCAAGGCAAGCTCAAGGATTCAATCAATTTCCTGAATCTGCACTTTTTTTTAAAAAGTGTGCCCGGAGCACAGCGAGTTGAGTGCTTGCCCAAGAGATGGATGGGATGGGGGTCAGAGAGCGGTTAAGACCCTGTGTGCCTGGTGGAGAGGGCCAGATTGAACTGGTTGGCGTTGTCCAAACATACTATATCCAGGCCTTCAATCCTAGCACTTGAAAGGCAGAGGCAGGAAGATCTTTGTGAGTTCGAGGACAACCTGGTCTACAAAGTGAGTTCCAGGACAGCCAGTGATACACAGGGAAACCCAGTCTTGAAAAAAAAAAAAAAAACAAAACCAAAAAAAAAAAAAAAAAAAAAAGCGTGCCACAATACCCAGATAGGGGACTACTTTCTTTTTGTTTTTTGAGACAAGGTTACGAATCTGCATATTTTTTTAAAAAGTGAGGGTAGGAGACTTCTCAGATGAGTGGGTTTTGCACGGAGCACAGCGAGTTGAGTGCTTGCCCAAGAGATGGGATGGGGGTCAGAGAGCGGTTAAGACCCTGTGTGCCTGGTGGAG